TTGTCGGTCACATAGAATTTATTCATTATTGATAAATTTCATTTGAATATAAATGCTTTTTTTTTTTTTTTTTTTTTACCATCTTTGAGTAGGTTAATTAGTGTTGCCTGTGATCTAGGAAACATAAGTTATTTCTGATGTAGTTTTCGCTTGTTAATACCAAAACAGTTAATGATTTGATAGCAACTATCCTTTCACAGGAGTAACATCTAATTAGATCATTACTTGAGGGTTCCACCCTATGTCATTTTATTTATTCATGCTTATAATTCAATGTTCATACAAATATTAGCACAACTATTCATTGCCATATCTAAGAACCATTAGGCATAACTTTCAGGAATGAAAACTCAAATGTCATACAAATACATAACAAATACACTATCCAAAGGACAAATACCACTCAAAGAGAAAGAATTGAAAGTACCAAACTAAACCAAGAGCAAACAGAAAATTCCCTTATGCCAAACTTGGCATTCAAGTTATCATAAAAAAAACACAATAACAAAGACATCAAAAGGCTTCTTTGTCAACGGTTTTAGTAGGACAACATCCATAGATCAAGACTAAAATATGTTCAACAAAGTCGGCAGTTTGGTCACAATTCTATAACTAGTCTTCTAAGAAGACTAGGAACATGGCATTAAAAGCATAGATCTTCAAAAATTAGTGCAGTTATAAGAAACTCATACTGAGACTCTATATCCAACAAAGAACTTGATACTCAACAAAAAATATAATTAGTAGCGAAATCCTATTATACCAAGGCAAAGAAGTATTCCTTAAATACATTTTCTGTTTTGGTAGCCTCAAGTAAAGACAGTTCTTCGTCAATACAAGTGTATAAATTCAGAGATTACGTTCCACAATTCCAAGGAAGCCGCTGCAATTCGTGTCATGCAAAATAAGATTCAATTTCATCCCAGCAAGAACAGTTGAATCAGAATTGACATCATCAACCGCAGCTTCAATTGCTGGCTTTGTTGATCGTCCAATAACAGAATTGAAGGTTTACAAAGCTCCAATATTCACTACTCTCGGCTTTGAGGAAGAAAGACTAGCATTTCCAGCCCTACCGATGCCTTTCATAGGCACCCACATACAAAATAACACCACCACCAATGTTCTCCTAATGAATAGACCAGTCTCCATTTCTATGCAAGCCAGCAATTGCCTAACTGATTATTCAGCAATTTCAAATTAGCATTATTTCATGAAATTTTCAAGAAATCATACACCTGTTAACAGATGCAACAAGCAAGTGAAGCTTACAATACAGAACTTGAAGATATAGGATCAAGATTACCACACAAAGTGGGTCCCCAACTCTCAGAACCCAAGTGCTCAAAATAAAAAATAAAAAAAAAAGAAAAGAAAAGAAAACCCAAATAATATAGGGAGATTTAACAGCAGAAAACGAAAAAATTGAATTCATAGAATAATTTGAATCTGAAATCTAGCATCCGAGAACAAACTTACATGGGGAACTAGAACAAGTTTACATGGGAATAGTCTAAGTCCCAATATTTCAGCTACCCATTATTGTAATCGTATTAATGTTTATATATACACACATATAAGCACATGTTTATGGATATATATATATATATATTAAAAAACAAACAACTTGGAGAGTCATTATTCAATTGTATTGCAAAACCCCACATGGATGAATAAATAAATGGATAGGAAGTGATAAAAATTGTAAATAAATAAGAGATCCTCACAAGCAGTGGAGTGAAGCGTCCAAACCAAGATTTCCTGGGAAATCCAGCTCTAGATTAGTTTTTGAAGAGTTGTTATCCATAAATATATATATAAATATTATGAAATTGTTGAATGCCTAGGGCAAGACAGAACAATTATACACAAATATATTCCCAGCTAATAGAGAGCTCCAAATGTATTCTCAGAATAGTGTAATTTCAGTAAAGAATCATTCTCACCTCTATTTATTCACCTCTCACTAGCTTTGTACAGTGGGGAAATTCTCCTGTGCGCACCTTTAGGGGTGCACATTATTTGTAACCTATCACAAAAATGTATAATTTTATCATAAAGTTTTGTAATATGAACCATAAAATGTGTAATCTCACTACAAATTGGCGTAACAAAAATTTCTAAAATTTTGTAATAGATCTTGTAAAAATTTGTGATTTTGTGGTTAATGTTATAAAATTTT